CGGATGACCATATGATATATTACTCTGGAGATGAAAAAGTGAGGAAAAATGGAGTTGCTTTCATAGTTAAAAAAGTCATTGCTAGAAGAATAGATAGGACAACATAAACAGTCTTCCAAGCATCCTGGAAAATCTACAACCAGGAGAGGATAAAAGAGATGAATGGGACCTTCTAAAAATCAAATCCTTATGCACATCCAAAAACTTATCCAACAGGGTAAAAAGGGAAGCTAAGACTAGGAAAAAATATTTGGTAATGACATATCAGACAAGGGACTTATATCTAAAATTTATAAAATACTCGAGTACCATAAGATAAAGGCAAATAACCCAATTGAAAAATGGACACAGTATGTGAACAGACACTTCACCAAAGAAGACATTCACATGGCCAACAAACACATGAAGAAATGCTCAAAATCCTTTGCCCTAAGAGAAATGCAAATCAAAACAACTATGAGATATCATCTCACCCCAGTAAGAATAGCAAAATTTAACAGAACAGCAAGCAATAAATGCTGGCGAGGTTGTGGAGAAACTGGAACCCTTATTCACTGCTGGTGGAAGTGTAAAATGGTGCAACCACTATGGAAGGCTGTATGGCACTTTCTCAAAAAGTTGCAAATAGAAATACCATTTGACCCAGTAGTTCCACTACTGGGAATAAACACTAAAGAAACCATAACCACCACCCAAGCAGATGGGTCTTAGCTGAAAGCAGGGAATACCAGAAGAATGTCTATCTGTGTTTCATTGACTGTGCAAAGGTGTTTGACTGTGTGGATCATAACAAACTGTGGCTGACTCTGAGAAGAATGGGAATCCCAGAACATTTAATCGTGTTAATGCGAAACCTATACTTGGACCAAGAGGCAGTCATCAGAACAAGGCAGGGTAACACTGCATGGTTCAAAATTGGGAAGGGTGTATGCCAGCCATGGATGTGTCCTATCTCCATACCTTTTCAACCTGTATGCAGAGCAGATTATCCGGGAGGCTGGGCTCTATGAGGAGAATTGTGGCGTCAGGATTGGTGGAAGATCTGTTAACAATCTGCATTATGCAGATGATACACCCTACTTGCTGAAATTGAGGAGGACCTCATGCACTTGCTGCAGAGGGTCAAGGACTGCAGCCTTCAGTATGGACTGAGGCTCAATGTCAAGAAGATGAAG